TAGACATGCGTCGAATCAGAGTGTAGACGTTAGGCATGTAGGGAATCAGAGTGTAGACGGTATGTAATCATAGTATAGATGGTAGGCATGCCGAGTGCTCTCGGTTACTGTAGCTAGAGTGAAGATGGTAGCCAGAGTGTTGTCTTGTCATGCAACTCACTTTGTAGCCACGCAGAGTGTTGTCTTGTCATGCAACTCACTTTGTAGGCACGCAGAATGTTGTCTTGTCATGCAGCTCACTTTGTAGGCACGCAGAGTGTTATCTTGTCATGCAGCTCACTTTGTAGGCACACAGAGTGTTGTCTTGTCATGCAGCTCACTTTATTGCTATTAATACAGTAGAGAGATCTGAATTATTATCATATCAATTAGTAAAACAATCCCTTCAAACACAATTTTACTAAAATATTAGCTATGTCTCAAACACCATAATACATGATTAGTGCACATCTAAACGGTGAGGTTTTTGAATGTAACATAACCGGTTACAATTTCAGAAATACTGATGTTACGAGATTTTTGATTGACAGAAGGTCAATTTTTTTACACTTGAAGTCAAGATTAGAAAAAACTGCAATGTGGTCCAGCTGGCCAAATATTATACAAAAATCCAGTGTTCTTTGGCAGGCACAATGAATGCAAATTTTTCACATTAAAGATTCGAGATGATGAAGATGTACGAAGCATGTTCCGCAGTCTTGAGTATTCCGGTTTCTCTGATATCGTGTTATATGTTACGTTATAACAACAACTGTCTCAACAACTTGATTCTTCTCAAGTTTTTTACGAATCTGATGAGGAACACGTTGAAGTCAATATCATTGATGAAGAAGAAGAAGCAACTGAAGTCACTGTTGACGACATGGTAAACAACGAGGAAGAGGGGGTTCCACCCGGTCATGTTTATTGCCCACCTCAACATATGACAACTCTCGACTTAGGTGACAATGAACCATCAACAAATGTTTTTTTACAACCCGAACTACGCAACAGAAGGACTATCAAAAAAAGGGTGACGAGTTTCGTACAAAAGAAGATTGTGTCCGAGCAATTAAACAATATCACATGGACTTATCAGCAGATTATAGAGTTGATCAAACAAATCCGACTCGATATACAATCTATTATTGTAACGAGGTGCGTCCGTTCCGATTAACAGCGTCTTTCAGGAAGAGAAGTGATTCATGGAAGATAAGGTCAATGAGTCCAGCCCACACTTGCGATGAGATTCTATCGGTCATTAGCGATAACCCGTCTTTGAAGGTGAGTACCATAATTTCACATATGGTTCAAGGGTACAATTACACTCTTTCATACCGGAAAGCATGGATAGCTAGGACTAAAGCGGTTGAAAGAGTGTTTGGAAATTAGGAGGAGTCTTACAAGGAACTTCCAAAATTCTTGGTGGCTCTTAAACAATACTCTCCAGGGACTGTTGTCATATTGGAGACAATGCCAACATATACACCAGACGGGACTTGCATTAGTGGAAATGGAATTTTTCACAGACTCTTCTAGGCATTTGAACCATGCATCAAAGGCTTTGCATATTGTAAACCTGTTCAAGTTGATGGCAAATGGTTATATAGAAAATACAAGGGCACGCTACTCATGGCTATGGCACAGGACGGGAACAACAATATTTTTCCGATAACCTTCGCTATAGTTGAAGGAGAGACTGCTGGGGGTTGGAGTTTTTTCTTAAAAAATCTCCGCTTTTACGTTTATCCCCAACCTAACTTATGTTTGATCTCCAATAGACACCCATCAGTAGAGAGTTCATACAATAACCTTGATAACGGTTGGTAGGATCCTCCCTCGACCCATGTGTATTGCATAAGACATATCGCCCAAAATTTCATGCGGGAAATCAAAGACAAAACACTAAGGAAGAAGGTTGTGAACGCAAGATATGCACTAACAGATCCCACATTCAAACACTACCGTGACGAGATCAGACTAACAAACACGGATGCATTAAGATGGATTGATAATATTGATAAAGAAAAATGGACACGGGCATATGACAATGGGGCGCGATGGGGCCACATGACAACTAACCTCGTTGAATCAATGAATTCTGTTTTCAAGGGAATCCGAAACCTACCGATAACTGCCTTGGTAAAGCAACATATTTTAGGCTAGGAGCACTCTTTGATAACAGAAGTATGAAGTGGGGTTCAGTATTACAATTTGGTCAGTTGTATAGTAATAGTTCAACAACATTCATGAAAGACGAAGCTGCCAAAGCCAACACGCATGTGGTCACAATCTTTGACCATAATAAAGGTTGGTTCAGTGTTGCCGAGTCAATTGATCACAATGAAGGAATGCCTAAGAGATGTTACCGGGTTGAATTGGATAGGAGCTGGTGTGATTGTGGGAAGTTTCAGGCATTTCGTATGCCTTGCTTTCATGTTATAGCAGCATGTTCGAAGGTGCGCCAGGACCCAACCAACTTTCTTTCAGCAGTTCACCAAGTGATAAGTCTATGCAATGTCTACACATATAGCTTTCAGGTGGTGGTCTCAATACGAAAGAGAAATTGTCTAGCATAATGATTTGATGCGAAGAAAGAAAAAGCGTCGCCCTAACAGCACGCGCATTCGAACAGAGATGGATACCGCAAACAAGATGGTAAGATTATGTAGTTCATGTCGGCAACCAGGACAAAATCGTACAAAATGTCCTAACGTAGGATCAAGCATAAGATCATATTGTCTAATGTAATTGTGTTCCTTTAAATCAACAACAAATTTCATTCCATTTAAAGTATACTTAACCGATTACAATTAGCAAGCAACATAAATTAAACAAACATAACTTAATATCACAACAACATTTCGAAAATAACAATAACAAACCGACATAAAACAGAACAATGCATCAAGGTGTCTACGATATCACAACCATCAACGTTATCTTCTTTGGTGTTAACATCATCACAAGGACACCGACATCATTTTCCACTTTTCTCCATTCACGAGTAACTCCGTTTCTCCCTGACTCCTCGACCAACCTCTAAATTTTCCTAATCTTTTCACCTGCAGCAATATCTCCTTCTAACCAGCGGTTCAGTTCCTTATGCAAATGCTCCAACGTCCGCGTATTCCACAGTAGCACCTTCATCAGAGGCTTTGTTACTGAAATAAACTAGGACATTTCTTTTCATTAGAGGAAATGTTGGAAACGGTTCCTCCGATGATGATGACGACGACGAAGAACGTTGATTTAAAAATGCAGACATTCTAGACTGCACTCAAAATTATGAAGACTTTAGTCTTTTGGTATAAATTATTGTGAAAAAATATATGCGTGTGTAGTCGTATTTATAGAAAAATAAAATAGTACGGACGCCATATGATATGCCTTAAATACCCTTACAAAGTTTATATACTTTTTTTCAACAAATACCAAAAATTAAGAACGTAGGGTTTAAAAATATCGAAATTCAAAGGTGACCTACAATTATATATTTATTATGTTTTAAAATTATATATTAATTATATATTTAATATATTTTAAAATTATATGTTAATTATATATTTATTATGTTTTAAAATTTAGACCAATTTATATGTATTATGTTTCAAAATTATATACGAATTATATATTTATTATGTTTTAAAATTTAAACAAATATATTAAATATCAAAAAAACTAAAATTATATTTATTCTAAACCAATTTTTATTATTTTATAAAACTAAAATTATAAACAAAACAAAACTAAAACCTAAAAGAAAAAGTAAAAAAACAAAAAAAAACAAAACCACAACTAATTCGCCATATCATTTGGCGAATTCATTTTTAAAAAAATTTCAATTTTGTCTCATACGCCATATCATATGGCAAATTAGTCTATGTTTGTATGCTTCAGCCATATCATATGGCACATGCATGTTGAATTATGGTTGAATTGGTATATTTTTTTATTCATGCTTTTATTTGATATTTTTTTAAAAAAATGTGGTTAGTTTAAAAAAAAATTCTATTTTAAATACACGTATTTAAAAAAAAAACACGTATTTATAATCTCTTAAAAAAAATGTTCCACTTGTCTTTTTAATGTCTTAATCAATATCTCACAAGCACTCGTTATCATTTCTCATTGTTAAATTAGTCCCGCATCCATTAAATTAACAAAGCCAAGCTGTCATCAACTTTAAAGTGATGAAATTTAGGGTATCTCAAGTGGAAGACTGGGGGATATGTTTGTGTTTTGGTAGGCGTACACTTCAACTTCAAGTGTCTAAACCACTATCTAATCAAACAAATTCTATGCCATGAGGAACAAAGTATCACTAACTAAAACTCAATACTTTTAATTGGTCACATGGTATGCACATTCTGCTCTTGCATTAATTTTTCTCAAGTGCGAACTCTTAATTAAGAAATCATATTAATTTGTTTGTAACTACACATTGAATATGGCAATGAATATATCAATAATCACATGATTAAAGTGCAAAGAAGTAAATAATTAAGGAATCAAACTCGCTTTATATATAACACATCCAACTTATGACAAATTGTCTCTCCAAATATCAACTGAGATGTTGTAAACTACTTAACAATCATTTATGTGGCATGGAAATTAAAATACTTCATATGATCTCTTCAATATATATTCTGATATTAAAAGATGATATATTTATCTACCTACTCCACCACATAAAAACTAACAACTATGATATATATATACACTATTGCCATCTAGCTGGAGGTTCATTAGATTAAATCACAAATTATTACAACAATCATATGAACCTACGGCTGTTTAATATTTTCTGTCGGCCATGGTTGATAAATAAGCGAGAAACTTTTTGGACCTTAAAGTTAATAGACTAGGATAATCTCAATTCTATACATATTACATGGCACATGTCTAAGTTGTCTTAAATATTCAATAATAAGCTTGTAGAGTTATTTTAGTGTACGTAGTAGTCTATATAAAGAGACATTAGAACCAAGAATGCAAAGCAAAGTAAGTTGTTTAAAATGTGTATGGATGGTAGTGCTTGTAATGCAAAATATTTGCTCTTGGTTTTACTTGTTTGGAGCAGTCTTTGTGCTTTGATGAGTGGTATTTGTCATGGGAGGAATTTAGATGGCAGTAGTTTTTCTGATCCTAGTCATTGGAGTCGTGGTGGGGATAGTGATGATGATTATTGTTTATATAGAAGTTGGAGGGGATGTGGGAGTTTCTATGAGAGAGGTGGTAGAAACTCTAAAAGTGATGAGGATGGTGGAGGTGGAGGTGGAGGAGCAGGTAGTGGTGAGGGTTATGGTGCAGGTGAGGGAAACAATGGAGATGGTGGAATGGGTGGTGGAGGAGGAGGAGGAGGAGGAGAAGGAGAAGGTGGTGGAAATGGTGTGGGATATGGTCACGGTAGTGGTTTTGGTGCTGGGGTAGGGTTTGGAGGTGTTGGGAAAGGAGGAGGCGGTGGAGGAGGTGGTGGTTTTGGTAGTGGTATAGGTAGTGGAGGGGTAGGTCGAGGTAGTGGTTTTGGAATGGGCGGGAGTAATGGAGGACATGGTGGTGGGGGAGGAGGGGGGAGTGGTGGTGGAAGTAGCTATGGAGGAGGCCAAGGTGAGGGCAGTGGTTTTGGAGCGGGTGGAGGAATGGGTGACTTAGAAGGAGGTGGAGGAGGAGGCGGTGGTGGTGGTGGTGGAGGAGGTAATGGAGAAGGAAAAGGACATGGTCATGGAAGTGGTTTTGGTATGGGTGTAGGTGCAGGAAGAGTTGGCATGGGAGGGGGAGGTGGTGGAGGCTGGGGTGAAGGAAGTGGCAATGGAGGTCAAGGTTATGGTAGTGGGTTTGGTGCAGGTGTGGGTGCTATAGGAGGAGGAAAGGGTGGTGGAGGTGGAGGTGGAGGTGGAGTTGGAGAAGGTAGCAATGGAGGGGAAGGTGAAGGTCATGGAAGCGGTTTTGGGGGAGGTACAGGAGGAGGAGGAGGAGGAGGAGGAGGCGGAGGAGGAGGTGGTGGTGGTGGAGGGTATGGGCATGGTAGTGGCTTTGGTACTGGCATGAAAACAAGTGGACATGATACCACTAAGAGTGAGGGCAATAATCATGGTGGTAACAATGGCATGGGAATTGGATTTGGCATGGGCATGGGTTTTGGTATTGGAATGGGGAGCAATGGAGTAGATGCAACTTCTCATGTTGATCCCAACGATCCTTAGATTGATATACGAGCTCAAAGTTTGCCAACGATTTGAAAAATCGAATTTGCTAATATGAAACATATTGCATCTAATGGACGAATCCAAGGGTATTTTGCATGTTATCACCTTATCTTACTCAATAATACTCTACATCAGAATTTACAATATCTAGATGGCATTTATAAAATCAAAATATTATCTACAATTTATTGTTTACAGCAATAAATATAGTCATCCTATTATAAGTATTGAAAACATAAAAATATAACGACAATATAAAATATATTCAATATGAAATAAAGCAGTAAAATATACTTTAAAAGAATGGAAAATGCTGAATGTTGCTACGCAATTTTCGTCAAAACCACACGAAGGTCTATTCTACTCACAAAGCAGTTTCATATTTTTTCATTTAATTTGATTAATATTTTGGTTTAAACAAGCTACATACTTTGGCTGGTGATTTATTTCGTTTACTTGCTCTAGAAGAATAGTCTAAACAACTTAATATTTTTTATTGATCTTGAAGGGCCTAAGCATAAGAATCAAAGAGACTACAAATAAACAAGCAATATAATGTCAAATCCCTTCTACATCATCATTAGTCTTTACAACACCATCTGTATTAAGGCAAACAAACTCAGCATCATTGAAGCACCATCTATTCGGATTCTTCATACTTTGATTGCTAAGCACCATCTATATCTTTGAACCTTTTCCTTTATTTCATCAGCTAGGTTATAAGGCATGAATACGTAGATTTCTCCAAAACCAGATGGTATATGACACATTGTGATCCAAATAACTCTACAATCTTAGTGGTCTTTTCCAGAATTCTGTTTCATATTATACTCCAGCCAATCCTGTATGTTGAGATCAAAGAAACTAGACCAGCCAGTATTCTGCAATAAGTAGGACCAAGTCTGATTAGCAACCTTACAGTCCTGCAATGCATGTAACATTGATTCTTCCTTACCCTCACAATCTGCACAATATGAATCCTAAGCTTTGACTGGTTAAAGTATTTGTTGGTTTTTAAACATTTTAAAACCATTTTTATACATAGGCCACAAACTCACAATACTCTTCCAAATACTAGTATCATAGATCTTTGCCTCCGCATGCCTTCCTTCAATGATATTTCTATGATAATTGCCTCTTAACACTTCACACCAAAGAGAAGATTCCCCAATCTTGAGCTTCTAATCCAGCTTAGCAACGCAACCTCTGTTCATATCAATTAGATTCCTAAGGCCCAAACCACCCCGCTTCTTTGGCTTTGCTATCTCACTCCACTTAATTGTGTGCATATGATTCTCAACAGCATCCCTACCAGCCTACATACCATCCTATTTTCTATTCTCAACAGCATCCCTGATCATATGACTGAGTTTATCCACACAAAGAACAAAAAGTTAGGGAGACAATGGATCTCCCTGTCTAAGACCTTTCTTTGTCTCAAAATACTCACTCTTGTCATTATTCCACAGAACTCTCATCCTAACAAAAGTTATGCAAGCCACAATAATGTTCATCAAATTGCTAGGCATACCAACCTTTCTTAAAACTTCCCTCACAGTCCTAGTTAATAATGTTCATAAAAAATGTACTTCTTTCCTATAAGCTTACACATACTATGGAGAGTTTCCTGAGCCACCACAATATTTTCATGTATGTTTCTCTTAGGGATAAATCATGTTTGGTTTGGAGATACCAATTATCCATAACCAATTTCAATCTATTAACAATAATTTTGCTCACAATCTTTTGAATAGCATTACATAGAGATATGGGCCTATATTGATGTGCAAAATGAGGATGAGTATTCTTGGGGATAAAGCAAAGATCAGTGTGACTTACCTCTGATATAATCTGGCATCTCCCAAACCTTCCTTATGTAAAGACTGACACTTCCACTAACAACCTTCCATGATTTTTGGTAAAAAAAAAAACCTGATGGATAGCCATCAGGTCCTGGTGATTTCCAGGGACTCATGTCAAAAACAGCTTTCTTGATTTCCTCATCTTCTAGCTCTTTTATAAGATGCTTCATATGCATTTCTTCTATCACAGCTGGGAAAGAAGTAAGATTATTGATCTAACCTGCACTCACTCTATTAGAGGTGTACCGATGATATTTATTTTCATAGAACATCTTCTTAATTATGTATGGGTCTTCAATCCAACTATCAGCATTATCCTTTAACATGTTAGTTGTCTTCTTTCTTCTTCTTTGAATCGCTCTAGCATGATAGAAGTGAGTATTCCTATCTCCATCCACTAACCAATTGGCTTTTGATCTTTGGTACCACATCATCTCCTCTTGCTTAAGGATATTGGTTAGCTTATGTTGGATAGTGTTTTCGAGCTCCCTGATCCCCATATGCCCTCTACCATTTTGAACCGCATTTTGAATGCCCCTTAATCTTCACATTAGATTGTTTTTCTTCTTCTGCATTCTTCTAATTGTTGAATAAACTTTAATGTTATAGTTAATGAGTTTTTACTATTAAGTTAATGGAGAGTTTAAGAGTCTGTTGTAATTGGAAGGCCAAGAAATAGTGGGCAAATTAATAGTATTTACAAATTATTAAGTTTCCTAGAATAGCTAAAGCTTGTAAGTCTATATAAAGACCAAGAGTGTATTCTAATAAAAAACAGAAGTTACAATAGAACTTGTTTTATTCTGTCAAATTGGCATCAGAGCTAATGGCAAACATGATGAATCAAATGCCATTGCCACGGCTAACGAAGTTAAATTACGAAAACTGGAGTATCCAAATGAAAGCACTTCTCGGATCTCTAGACGCGTGGGAGGTGACCAAAGATGGGTTTGAAGAACCAACAGATATTGGTGGATATACGGCAGCTCAAAACAAGGCGTTGAAAGAGACGCGATCGAAGGATAAAACGGCACTATACATGCTGTTTAGGGCTGTTGATGAATCAGGTTTCGAAAAGATTGCCGGTTCGACTACGTCGAAAAAAGCGTGGGACACGCTAGAGAAAGTGTTCAAAGGAGCAGATAGAGTAAAGCAAGTTCGACTCCAAACTCTTCGTGGAGAATTGGAGAGGATGCAGATGAAGGAGTCAGAAAATGTATCTGACTACATCACGCGTGTACAAAAGGTGGTGAACCAACTCACCAGAAATGGCGAAACAGTAACTGATGCACGAGTTGTCGAAAAGATTTTGAGATCTTTAACAGATAAATTTGAGAATATTGTGTGTGCAATAGAAGAGTCGAAGGACCTTTCGACACTGTCAGTCGAAGACCTCGCTGGTTCCCTCGAAGCACACGAACAACGAAAGATGAAAAAGAAGGAAGAAGGAGTAGAGGAAGAAAATCAAACCAAGGAGCAAATCAAAGACGAAAAAGTACTCTTTTCTCAAAATTTTCGAGGAAGAGGACGTGGTCGTGGAGGACGTGACGGTGGTCGAAGTGGTAGAGGCAGCAATTTTGGGAGAGGACAGTCGATCCAACAAAATTGGCGTGGCAGAGGACGTGGTCAAAGAGGTGGTAGGTCGAACCATTCAAATTTTGAATGCTACAAGTGTGGCAAGTATGGTCATTATGCGAAGGATTGCAACTCATTCAAATGCTATAACTGTGATAAAGTAGGACATCTTGCAAAAGATTGTCGAATCGAAAAGAAGGTAGAAGAAACAACCAATCTAACTTTGGAAGCTGAAGCAAATGAAGGTTTTCTCTTGATGGCTCAAAATGAGATCAACACAAATGACAATGTTTGGTATCTTGACTCAGGAGCAAGTAACCATATGTGTGGTCACAAACACTTGTTCAAAGAAATGAGAAAGATTGAAGACGGAAATGTGTCTTTCGGAGATGCATCGAAAGTGAAGGTCGAAGGCAAGGGAACGATCTGTTACTTGCAGAAAGATGGGTTGATTGGATCAATTCAAGATGTTTATTATGTACCAAATCTCAAAACCAACATCTTGAGTTTGGGACAACTTACAGAAAAAGGTTATTCGATACTTATGAAAGAACGAATAATGCATTTGAAGGACAAGTTGGGACATCTGATTGCTCGTGTCGAAATGGAGAGAAATCGAATGTACAAACTGAATCTGATAAACGTTCGAGAAAAATGTTTACAAGTAAATGTCGAAGACAAAGCGTCACTATGGCATCTACGCTTTGGTCATCTACATCACGCTGGATTAAAGAGATTGGCGAAAAGGAACATGGTGCATGGACTACCAGATATGGATTATGAAGGAAAGTTCTGTGAAGAATGTGTACTTAGCAAACAAACAAGAACCTCATTTCAAAAGAAGGCAGAATATCAGGCTAAGCATATCCTTGAATTGATTCACACCGACATATGTGGGCCAATCACGCCAGAATCTTTCAGTAGCAAAAGATACTTTATTTCCTTTATCGACGATTACTCACGGAAGACATGGGTTTATTTCTTGAAAGAAAAGTCTGAAGCATTCGAGGTGTTCAAAAGGTTCAAAGTAATGGTAGAGAAGGAAACCGACAGACACATTAAAGCAGTTCGATCAGATAGAGGTGGTGAATATACTTCGACAACCTTTATGAAGTATTGTGAAGAGCAGGGTATAAGGAGATTTCTAACTGCAGCATACTCACCCCAACAAAATGGGGTGGCTGAAAGGAAAAATCGAACAGTCCTTGACATGGTTCGCTCAATGCTTAAAAGCAAGAACATGCCAAAGGAATTTTGGGCAGAAGCTGTAAAATGTGCCATTTATGTTCAAAATCGATGTCCACATTCGAAGCTAGAAGATAAAACACCACAAGAAGCGTGGAGTGGACAGAAGCCAACAGTTTCTCATCTCAAAGTATTTGGAAGTGTGGCTTATGCACACGTACCAGATCAAAGAAGAACGAAGCTTGAAGACAAAAGTAAGAAATACATACTCATTGGGTATGATGAGAAAACAAAAGGGTACAAGTTATTTGATCCCATAAGAAAGAAGGTGATAGTGAGTAGAGACGTTCGAATAAACGAAGCAAGTAAGTGGGA